TAATTAAAAACCCATCCTGACAAGTTCATTTATAGTTGGAACTTTGATGAGAGCCTCTACAAGTACGAGTGTAGAACTCACCTCCTCTGCCTGAGGTGAAGGTCACTCGAATGGCATACTCCACTGGGGAGCTGCACCTAGAACTCTCAAACTTGTAGGCGTTTGATGATGTCGGAGGATAGATGGCTTTCAAATCTGATAGAGTCTTCGTAGGTTCAGCACAGAAGCCTCCTTCACCATCACTGAGTCTGATTCTGCCGAGGGCTGAGGTCAGGCTGCTCTTTTCAAAGAGGAATGTGTCACCTTCGTTGAAGGAAAGGTTTTTGGCTGCCATTCCATCAGGTATTCGTCCCACCGATTCCCCAGGCGCGTCAAACAAGAGAACGACGGAGTCCCTGATGGAAACATAGAGTGCACTGTCTGGCGCTACGTTACGCATCACCCGTACGATGGACAGTGTATAAATGGCCGGGCTACTAACGTACGCAACCCATTCTGACACTGTTCCATTGCAAGGGAATCTCATGCCGCTTGCCAAGACAACCTTATTGCGTTCGTTGACATTGAGCTGTGTTCTTGTGTCGTGGCCGATCCAGTCACACGCTGCTGGAAGGCCGTAGTCACTCCCTGCTGGTAGTCTTGATGCTAAACACACACAAGCATAGACATACACACATACGTGCACACACCCACACAAAACACACACACACACATCATACACAGATACACACGCAGAGTACACACAGCACGCACAGCACACAAAGGAGAGTAGTCTTAATTTTGGCAAGATGCATCAGTGGCACTGCTGGTCCCATCAGGTAGATTACTGTTAGACTATGGGTAGACGCCATATCTTTCGCTGCGCCACGTGTAGGAATTAGCCGAACCTTCCTCGTACATGTACTTACGATTCCAGCATGTGTTGTCAAAGGAGATGTCATCAATAGCTACATCAACAGGGGACAAGCGCACGGCAATGTCAGCCATGTAGACAATCTGAGCAAAAGCAACAACACAAGAGCAAAATGATCAGGTCAGGCATGCTTCAGCGTAATATACACGCAAAATACTATTGTTCCATCCGAGACATCTTCAGCTTCAGTGAAACACGCTCAACCAGATGAACACCACCGAAATTATGGTGTTCGCACACCTCTCCGTCTTAGGCCCGCTTCTTAAGTAATTTGAAGTACCAAAATGTACCGCAAGAGCGCACCACTTTTCGTGGTTGTGTTTCGGAGGCAGTGTCCTGTCTGTAGGTATTACGACACATACTTTGTACACACACACATTGCTCTTTGTGCAGTCAATCCGTACCCAGTTTATTTGAAGTACCTTCGAGCAAATGCGAGCTTCATACACAAGAACATGCTAAGTGTAACCTTAGTAGCTAAGGTTCTCACACCGTACTAATCTCTGGCTGCAAAGTCAATGCAGGGCGCTTTCGCGAGACGGGGCTCTCGAGGTACTCAACAGTATTTACAAACGACAACGAAACTAACCCTGAACTCTGACATGGAATTCACAGGCAGGACGAGCTTCGTCCAGGTCTGTGCAGCTGGCAATGAAGTGCTGTTCCATAGCAACTGTCGGCCAGGACCATTGACCCTCTCAAGCCACACTGTCAGCACATTCGCACCAACTTGATACCACAGTGTCATCTGGCATTTAGATGTTGGCCGCAGCACGGGCGAGGTGAAGAACGTCGTCTTACCCTTATTCACCACACTGTCAACGTTGAGGAAATGCCCTATAGCAAAGAACACAGTGTTAGATCAGAGCACAAACACAGATAGAGAAGGTGCTGGCACGACCGGCTGCTGTCACACAGTTCGTTCATGGAAGTAGTGCCATATGAATGCCGTAAAAGTAGCTGTTACAATTCCTGTACATATGTATCTAAAGCTCTAGCTTGACCGATGATAACGGCGAAGGATCTCTTCAAGCATGAGTGAAGTTTACTCCTCTCTGACATGTTCTCCCTTCGCCGTGAATTCGCCGTCACACAGATAGAGGCGCCCGAGGCCAAGTCAATAATTCCATTTATTTACCCATTGTGCAAACTCAAGCTGGATACAAATCTCTTTCATTCCTTGGTGCTGACCGCTTTAATAATGCGCTGCCCAAATCCCTTCGAGCTAATCATAGCCCCAATTCATTTTGCCAGGAACCTACACATTCATTCATCTTGGGCACCCTGTAAGAAGACCTTACGAGTGGGGTCTGTTGGGAATGCCCAAGTAAAATAATAAAATACAATACAAAAAATGCAAAGGACGTACACGCCAGGTATGAATAAAGCGTCTCGTCCAATAGATGGCATGGTACGGTGTATCTGTTAATTAATGTCAGGCACAGGGTGTCCGAAACCATTGAGGCTTTTCAGCGAGTCCTTTCCTTATCGTGTACAACCTGAGTAAGTACAGTCAACTTCGCGTATGACGACACTCGGCGGCGGGGCATCAGAAAAGTGTCCTTATTCGCGAAGTGTCGTTATACCCGAAGTCTCATTATATGTGTCACAGTTGGATGGGACTTTGCTCTGGGCATGAAAATTATGTCGTTATTCGCGAATTGTCGTTATATCCGCAGTCGTTATTCGCGAATTGTCGTTATATCCGCAGTCGTTATTAGCCAAGTTGACCGTACAGTAAACCTGGCCTAACCGGACAACGCCCTTGGCCTTGGTGCAGCGGAAACTGTCCGGATATGACAGGATTCCGCTTGATCCAGGGATGCACGTTCGATCTGCAGCACTTTGGTGCGTGAGAATTTGTCAGATCAATACAGGAGTCTGCTTGGTACAGGGTCCGGCAAACACAGGCTTTACACTTCGACAGTACATTAGAATGTCAGTGTGTCACTAACCGGGTTGAATGTTCTCCAGGGTATTGTCCTCCGCTGGTCTACTTGAGCTTCTTGACGTACCGGCTAAGGAGTAGTTCCAGCGGCCCATGGTAGAGTTACCCTGGTTGATCATATAGCCTTGCAAGCCGCATTCAAAGTCGGCCTTCAACGGGGTGTACGCTGTTCAACAGTACAACACAGGGTGCACAATGCTTCTATAGTAATTCTACCCATTCGCCATATGATTCAGAAAGGCTGCCGAAACTGGTATTCCCATGTGAAAACCGGCATATTTGCTCCTCCATTACCATCGATATGTTCCGAGTACTCAGATGAAGAGCATCAGCTTAAACAATGCAATGGAACAGGTACCTACCTTGTTCTTCATTTAAACTTCATACAGTCAACTGACATAACGCACACACAGAGTCATGGTACAGCGAACACAAGTGTGAAGCACAACACGACATACAACTCGTACGTGTCTCCCTAGTGCCTACCTTGACAACATGATGAGGAGAACCGGATATCATCCACTGTAGCAAATCCAACACTGTCGTTAGGGACTAGATGGGACTGGAACAGTAGCTACACACACACACACACACACACACACACACACAAACACACAAACACACACACACACACACGCACGCATGCATGCATATGCACACGTACAGAAAAATCACGAAACACATAACACACAAATATAGAGATGAGGGTGCAGAATTTCGACACAGTGAACCATCTCGGATACTAAAATACACCAATTTATTAGAATGCATATACATGCAGTTGCATACATTTATGAAGAGGTTATTTTCACACGGAGCGGGTTTGTTCTTTCTCAGTATCTGGCTATCAGTTTGCACTATAGGTCGCACTATAAGCTCAAGCATGCAGGCGTAGGGTTGCTAGCACTGATGTCATCTGATAGAACAAACAAGCAATCCAATCATTCAATAATCCCGGATAAACAAAGTGACAAAACAAAAAGATGGCCTGCCAGCCAAGTGCCTCGTGTCCTTACCTTGAACTTAGTCAGACCTGCGGGTACAGGTACGCTCCTCATTACCCACATACTGGGGGTGTCGGTGGTAATGGTTGCCGCCGTATGTCTTGTGCCATCACTACTGATGAAGTGGACCACAAGCGCATCTGCAGCAAAGCGCGTCTTGAGCTGGTAGTGGAAGGACACACTGCAAGCGTTTGTTTGGTCAATGGTGTACTCGGGCGACTGCAAGAGCACCGAAATGTTGCTGCCAATGGCAGGATCACCGAACCTTGTAGCGGCAAAGTAGAAACCTGTGAACAGAAACATTGTACTACTTGTCAGTAACTGATGATTGCTGGTCCTCTTATTAACCTTTCCCTGTAACTACTTCAAAGTATAAGTCGCTTGCTCAGTTGCACCGCACGGTATTCACAACTACATGTGCATGTAACTGCAGAGCGTATAATGTCATGGGATACCAAACTTGCCCCAGTCACCACCAACAAATCCTTGAAGCCATTGAATTAAAAAAAAAAAGAAGCTAAAATGCAATGACATGTGATAACGGAATCCGCACTGCTCAACATGGCTCCATTATACTCTCCCTAAAACAGAGAGGGGGTGAGAAGATGATTGAACTGCCAAATATAGATGTATATGAACAGTTTGTCGTTGTCAGGTTAGTTGCCAGGCTTGCATGTGAGCGCGTAGCCTCTCCTTACCGATTTCATTTCCCAGAGTGTGGTCATGTGGATCCGAATCGCCTGCGAGATCATTCACGATGAGGGCCGCTTGCTGCCTCACCCACGTTGTCAAATGACCGACTCTTACCGGCGAGGCCGACGTCTGCCAATCGTACCCTGAGCTTTTTGCCAGATTCCTGGACCACAGGCAATTCTCAAAGTCAACTGTGGGAGGAATGTTGCAGCCTAGAAGCAGCACAACAATATGGAAAGATATATATCATACCTAACGGTTTATGCGTGTTCGATTTAGTCTGAGGAGCACAATTACTTTGAAGTACTAAACAGAAAAAGGAGAGCACACACGCACACACATACTACAAGTACACGCACACATGTGTGCAAAACACCCGTGCACGCATGCATGTGCATACACACACACAGCGCACGCATACACACGCACGCAAGGCCACATGGAATGCCAAAGACAGTGGTAGCCAATCACCCTACATACTGCACATATATTATGTACATGTAGAGGATAGCCAAATGTATGATATTTCCTAACTGTACAGTCATTTATGATTATGGAATGGGTTTTTTGTGTGATTGTGTGTGTGTGTGTTTGTGCATCAGTAGTCATGACAGCAGCCAGCGTCACTGCAAGCCCTGTCAGTAGTCTGGTGGTGTGTATGTGTGCCAGTGGCAGCTATGCATACATGCTGGGAAATAGTCCTATACACGCATCTCCCTTCTCCTTGGCCAATTTCAAATTTCTTCGATAGATGCGTACTTGGCGTATACATCTACCCCTCAAGTTTCAATTCCATAGTGAAATTGACAATTGCCAACGAATCAAATACAAATCTGCTGATTAGATATTCCAGAGCTCTGACTGGCCGCACTTCATGTGCAGAGTGCGTGGCCAGTTCAAAATGGTTGTGATACCCAAGTACACAAGTGCGACGGTCTACCCCTGACATTGTGCAGCAAGACACTGACAGTCAGACTGGAGCTAAATACAGTCATGTACTATGACTTAGTAAGATTACAGTGGTCAGTGTATCTCATGCTGCTGAAGACAAGTGCTAAACACAATCATACAGTACAAGACTCATCATGCTACCACTGTGTACCATGGTGCCGTACTGGTAGTGGCAGGGCATCACAGACTTGCTAGCCTGTCACTGGCTTACACTACCCACTGCTAACAGGAACATGATGCTGATTGGGATGACAATGTGATTGTGACTTTCCAGTAATACTCTAGCAGGGTGGCTTGGTTTCAGACAGATACACTGCTATTACTACACACACGCACAGTCATATTGACCATTGCCTAAAAACCTCAGTCCTCCTGAAGCAGTGCGTAGAGAAAAGTGCAAGGTCAGTGCACGGTGTAACCTGTAACTCATCAGAGAACATCATTCTTCACACATCCACACCTATTACTAGTCCCCTCTACAATTTCTCCAGTATAACACAGACATACATGTAGCTGCTGCTACTGCCAGTCCACCCCAGCACCGACTGTTCCACATTCACCGTCCTGACCAATGAGGCATGGAAGTCTGGCTCATGCGTAAAACTGAGGTGTTTCAGTGACAAACAATAACAATATGAGCCACGCCATGCAACACTGTAGGTCACCCCGCGCCAAACTGCTGATCAGAGGTGATATCATTGTCCACCACCAGTCTATACTCCATGGTGCCACGTCATCCTCGGAAACAACGTGCACATCACCAGTGGCACGTGAAGCGCTGTTGTGCTATGGCGTTACAGGCTTGCGGTGCACGGCCGACGTATTGTTACCGACACGGCGTGGCATACGGCACCGTGGATAGATGATGCGTGCACGACGTTTTCCTATTCCGACGCCGTACTTGTGTCACAGCTGCTACATGTGTTTGCAGTGCTACTGTTAGTATATTAGTGTCGTTACAGACTTGAGGTGAGACACGACACATGTTGACAAAGATGCTTTCCTTCGCAAATCATCCAATAATAATCATTTTGTAAATTGTGCACCATCTCATCATCCCCACTACAACCATCACTACGGAGTTGTGTACAATCATGGACTTCAAGTAGCTTAGTCCACTGCAGGCTGAAAGATGCTGCAAGGACCATGTAATAATTATTGTTACTTCTAATATGATAATTATTGTTGCAAAGCATGCCTGTTTTGATTCCCGCTATAAATAAAGTACACAACAACGTTACAACAAAAAGCCCAGTGACAGCACACCGCCCAGCTGAAACGTAGTCTGGTTACTGTGTCTGTGTCCTATCACCTCATGCTCAACTCGCAAAGATGACTGGCACGGATTCGTGGCCGGTAATCATGGTAATGCATGCCACTGGAAATATTCGTTCAGCAGCGCCGCGCTTGGGACAGCAACTGAACAAGTGAACAAACTGCGGTAACTATCATGAACTGGTAGACTACATCGATTTTAGCCTGCATACTGAATGACCTGAATACAAAAGTTCAATATCGTACCGACCCCGGTCCATTTCCTGTCTCCATAACAAACGCACTGATGCCAAACCAAGCGCGCTGCTAACACAATGCAATGTCGCGTTGCATGCCAGCTGCCGTTCTACCCGAAAAGTGAAGACAAGAGCGATAACCAAACTTCTCCCCCGTCAAGGCGAAGCAGTCCAACAGTCGTTGTCAGGACTTTATCGATAGCAGCCTCAGCAGGAGTTGCTGATAGGAGCACCGCGTTCCAATTGACACATTTGACAGGCCAGCTTGAGGCAGACCTCTCCGCAAAAACCTTCGCCTGTTCAAGCCAAAATCCTCCAGGAATTCACTTTCCTCTCTCGACTCACCAGACCGACGTTTACGTGATGTTGTAATTCATTTCACCTTCCAGCTTCGCACACACACACGCACACTCTAAACCGAGAGTCCGCTGGCACATGATGTCGTCCATTCTCGCTCCAGGAGGACTGTGCCTGTCATCGAGACAGGTAGTTTAGTCTACAGTGCCGTGTTCTTTTGAGAAGAAGTCGCCAACGGTCAGTAGATACTGACAACATGTACAGGGAGCGACTACAAATACATGTACACGACAAAATGTAGATAGCTAGCTCTCCACATACTCGACTCCATTATTACATGTGTCACACTCTGCGCCACCGTCGACTGCTACCACGAAATACGAACTGAAATTCCCGAACTCAGATCCTATCTTCAAGCACATACACGAACGGCCTACCGATCGCTTCCTCCGGTCTAGTCTGACGACCAGAGCGAGAAGACTCCGAACGATCCGCGCGGGAAGGTAACCTCTCTCCACAACTGAGTCATCCTTCCACTGCCCTACACAAATCGCGCGTTCACGGGGTCACACCATGCCATTACTAATATACCATTACCATTGGCGCTGGCAAATGCAAAAAGTAACACACTGTTCGGAGTGTTCCCAATTATTTACTAGTAATAATCATTATCACGCCTCTGACGACCCGTTCCAAGTACGATGTGCTTTCAAGCAGGGGACACGATGCTGCAAAGGAACAACTCTAGAGGAACATGAACAAGCCCTTTGATGATACTCATCGAGCGCCTAACGATACTTGATAACACTGACAAGCTAGAAGGAAAGTGTTACATAAAATACTACTCGTACAAGAGTTCACAACGAGATTCCGCTGCATGCGGCACTACGCTACATGAACAGCATGCGAAAGACGATTACAGAAACTAGGAAGCCAGCAAAGATAAGTAGTTCATTTCACACGAGGCTCTTCTCACCTTGACCGAGCGCTTGATGAGCAGCATTCCAGGCAACACTAAGAAGTACTACAAGAGCTGCAGATGGCCGGATTGCCATTTTCCAAGGCCGCTTTTGCTGACAATAGAACAGCTTGACAACTCTCCAAAACTCTCAAAAGCTCCACAAGTGGCCCAGCATAAATAGTAGGTCAACGTGGGATCTCCTTACATGCGCCAGTGTCTTCTTATTCGGCTGCAACTAGCACTAAAATAATACTGCATGTGGCAGCGGCAGCGAGTAGCAGAGCTTGCCGGGAATTTAGTCGCCGCGCTGAGCTGGGGGGCATTGAATGAACCCTAGACACTCTCCACGCTTCGGAGTTGTTCTTCGTTTTCTCGCCAGAGTCAAGACCCAAATTTATTCTATCAAATGTCCTTCCTGATGGCCAGCAACAGCTAAGCAGCAGGCGCTATCACCCTCTCGCTGGCATAGTTTCCAAACTATCTTGGAATTGAAGCACACTCGGAGGCAGGAAGTGGCTGAATAATAATAGGTTTGATACAGTCGACCAAAGGGATGTTCCAGAAATGCTCACCAGCCTAGCCTGCTACTACTACTAGTACTAGTACTGAATCTACGCAAAACTGTCGATATTTCTAGGCGATCGGGGGTGTAGATTATTGACTAGTTCGCAGCTCGAGTCGTGACTCGTGGTGATACTGACAGATCAGCTACATAACATGTACAGACTCAGTGTATGATGTAGATCTACGCTGGCTCGACTACGCGTCACCTCTGACTCTGCAACTGAGTCTCTTGCACTTGCAGTCACAGATCAATGACAAGCTAGCTTTCAGTGGTTGGATTATGTGCATGCGTGTATTTATGTGCACACATGCTGAATCTTTGCCAGTTACTGTTGCCGTGTTGGCGAGTTCGACAAAATGACAGCTCGGCTCCCACCTTTATGGCTGTACGGCACTGGGGCTTACCCAAGTCCACATGTCCAAGTCCTGACAGTTTTTGTCGTCCGTCGCCAGTGCAGGGTCTGTACCGGTATGGGTACTACTACTAGTGCCGTGGTGAGGATTGGTGAAGCTTACTCCGCGTGTGTCCGGCCAGCGCAATGCACTGCAACCGCTAGCACTACAAAATGACAGACATACACAGACTCAGTGCAGTGCACAGTGCACAGTGCATTATTTTTGTACCTGGGCTATTGTTGCAACAGTTACATGATGTAACATTGTCATTATGTAAGTGCTATGTGCCACAACTCAAACTAGTAATACCGTAGTACTGTAGTAGATCTATCATTCTTTTTTCTTGCTTCTATTTTCATCCATGCACACTTCACATCTTTTCAAAGCATTCGTCTACATTGAGTTGAAAATATTATTTTTATTATCATTAAATTCTTGATAGGGCATCCCCACAGGCCTAAGGAAACTTTTACACAACCTTGTTACATTTGCCTTGAGTTTCTTTGGATTAGACTTTTTTCAAATTTTCATTTTGATTTCATCGTCGAGTTTCATCCCTTGTATCTTTGGTTTTCTTCCTTCTTTCCATGTATTGTTTGAATAAACCCGTTTTGAGTAGTAGATCTACTATCTGGCACGCCCGGATTCACAGACTGATATGTCGACAATCTGTAACTGTAAATCCGAGTTTTTCCTTTTCATCTTTTTCTGGGTTTGCAATAATTTTGGATTGCATTTTCATCTATTATGTTCCTTTTGACTTCCCTGTGACCGAAAAAGAGGCATGTACTTGTACGTACGTGTAGTACTAGTACTGTAGTAGTCTACAGTCTGTAGATCTCTACTACATGTATACATGACTGTAGTAGATCTACCGACGGCTTTGCTACACCGTGCACTGACTGTCAGTGCTGCCTGTAGTCCATGATAGTCTGTCTACACAACACAGCGCCGTCTGATCCAACTGAGTGTCTGTCACTGTCAGTGCACGCCGAGCCTTGCCTGGATCCATGGTCCATAGACATAGTGACTTCGGCCTAGCCGGAAACGTCAACGGTGGCCATCGTCACAGTCATAATGTACTATTGCTTGTTCAAGTCACTCAGCCAACTAACAAGTTACCCACTTTGTACACGCACGCTTGTACTCTTCTGGTTGTAGTCGTGTCGAGTCTCAGTGGCCTCCTGTCGAGTCAGCTGGTACAGCATGATACCTTTCAAAGTTTGGCTATGTCAGCACATGCACTTGGCGTGCACGAGCATGATCTACGCCATTGGCCCAAACGGGCCAAAGGCCAATACTAGTGAGTGCTACACTACAGTCGTGTA